TATTGTGATATGGCATGTGTAGTGTTTTGACATGCCTAGTTAGATTATTTTGAGACTATGTTGTTGTGTGTAATAATGCTCAGGATTCATTATTTACTTGAGCTTCTGGATTATGGATGTATTTATTATGAGTTATGTTAGATACATGTGATGAGAACACATAGACATGATGTATAGATTTATTAATTTGGGCACGGAGCCAACATGTATGCACTGACCCATTGAGGGGATCACAGTCCGTGTGAGACTTGTGAGCTGTCTGTTTATAAACTGTGTCTATCAGGATTGTATTATAGAGTGAGATTCTTATCTCCCAATTATCCATTAAACAGCCGTTATGTTGTACGTGAGACTCTGGAAGGAATTTACACTTGTTGTCATATCCGGTTAGTCAATGGAAACTAATACTAGCTAATAGGATTAATTAGTAGATGTATGTTTTAGATCTACACTTTTGCAACATCTCATGTGAACGCTTTTGGAAATGTTTCAGAAAATATTTTGGAAAAAGTTTATTTGTATTTTTACAAGACGTTTTATTAATCATTCAATAAAATCTTCCTCTGTGTTCGTTATAATATCATGATGGTAACAACCGAAGTACTATGAGGTGTTACAAAGAATCCCAATACATACCGCCAGATGGGTGGTATGCTTATATTCCCACCTGATGGGAAATTTTTGCACAATTTATGGGATTACTTGTTAATGTAAATCCTTGAAGAGGTTTGCACTTTCTTTTTCTTGTCCATTAGAATTCAATAATTTGGCATTAATAGATTGAAATAGAGATTGCACCGTTGTAGTTATTGATTCAATATTTTTTTATGATTTTTTTAATTAATATTTTGGTGGGCCAACCCACCTTAAAACGGGGTAGGTTAAACTTTGCAACCCATCATCCAATGGCGGGTCAACCCGCCCTGCCTCGTTTTTGGCAAGTTGAAGGTAGGTCGGGGTGGGTCGACCTGTTTTGCCACCTCTAATCATTGCTTTCCAATATGAGTAGTACTACGCGGTGAGTTTGAACATGCCACCATCATGCGCTACAACTCCCTCAATCTCTGACGTCACAAAGCCCTTGATCCAAGAGCTCTGATACCACTGTTCTGTCTCGGAGCCCAGCAGTCTTCAGCCCGGCCTTTGCACCAATCAGTTCGGCCTTCACAGGTCGGCTTGCGAAAATGTTGGTGAACATTAATAACAAATCAAATTAAAAAACAAAGATAAGGAGGGAGAGAACACCAATAATTCTAAAGTGGAAAACCTCTTCGATGTGAAGAGTAAAAACCACGGGACCAAGTCAAAATAACATCCACTATGAATAATGGGATTACACAATATTCACTTTGGCTAAATAATCATAGGGCTTCACCCTCTAAAGGATGGATCTACTCACAAGTACCTCACACAAGTATTTCACTCTGTAAAAGGGATAGTGAATCCTACTCTATAGGATATTCTTCTTCTTCAGCGATGACGCTAGGTTTCTTTCTCAGAGAATCTTTGTCTCTGACTTGCGCTTTCTCTGCGCATTTCTCTTTTTTTGCTCTATTTCGACTCAGTATTTACATATCTTGTTTCATCTTTTATAAACAAGATATTAGGGCTCCTATTAATTTAGGCTGGGTCCATCATGGGCCACAGACCCAACACACACACACACACATATATATATATCCTTAATTTGTTATATTTGTTGTTTAGTTAGGCCATTTTTTTACTAGATTGGGGTTATGGTAAGATATGGCTAAAATTTATTACTATTGTTTATATATTTGTTTAAGAGATTAGTTGGTATTTTAAGAATTTAGTGCGAATGTTATGAGGCACTTGATAACAAATTTTTTGGCTAATGTTATAAATACCTTTTGTGGAGGTCTATTATCCCAATATACATAGATATGACCCTATTTAGAGGATAGTAGTACTAAGTTTTCAGTATTGCTGCAACACAAATTGTGACATATAGATTAATTTTCCACATCAGTTTGCTTATGTGGCATTAACTTACGTGTTTCTATTTGTGTTGTGGTAGTACTGAAAGTACATCTGTAATACTAAAAATATTCTCCAATTAGAGGTGAAAATGGATTGGGCCAGGTACGCTTTGGCTTAATTAGATCTATTACATATTTAAGCATAGTTTGTTTTATTAGCCTAGTCTTACTTATATTTAAAAATAAAAAGACCTTGTCTAGAGTCTAGATAAGATAGTATGTTTAAACTTATTAGACCTTCAAGAATTTAAAAAATAATTAAAATAATATTACTTTATTAATTAAAATTATTTTTTTTTAAAATAAGTAATATAATATATGTCAATTTGTAAACTTATATGTCAAGCCTTGTAGAAGAAAACATATTATTAGCTTTCTAAATAGGTTTTTTATTTTAAGCACCAATCCGTATGCTCTTAATAGATTTTCTTATGTAGAGGTGTCAAAGTGGGCCGTCCATCCCGCCTCTGCACCACTATCAACCCGCCTATAAACGAATCAGCCCGCCTCGTCCCGTTTTTAATAGTCGGCTGAGAAAGCCTGCCCGTCCTATTCCTCCTATAAGCCTGCCCCACTCCGCTAGCCCGCCTATTATTATATGAATTTTGGGGAAAATGTGATGATTTTTTTTGGGATTACAAGAAAGATAAAAACACAAAAAAATGCTAAGTAGAAACCATTCTGGGGGTTGACACCCCCCTTTGGTCTCTTAACAACAGATTCGTACACTCCATAGGAGGACTATCAAGAATTTCCACGTCCCAAGCATGTTCTGTAGTTGTCGCAGCCAACCAATCAGCTAGAGCATTGCCTTCTCTGAAGGTGTGAGAGACCTGGTCATCCAATCCTTCGTTAGCATGTCTTGGATTCTATTAACTAAGGAGGAGAAGGATTGGTTCCTGGAGCATCCATTTCTGATGAGATCTAAAGCAACCGTAGAGTCACTCTGAAGCCAAATCTTCCTGAGACCATAGTCCCACGCAACTTCAAGGCCTAACATGATACCCTTCAACTCCGCAAGGAGGGCGTTCTCGTGGCCTGTGTTCATCCTAAACCCCACTATCCAGTTCCCTCCAGAGTCACGAAGGACTCCTCCGCAAGAGGTTCTGTCACCCCTACAAGAGCAACTGCCATTCGTGTTCACTTTTATCCATCCAGGCTGGAGAAACTTCCAAGTAATGAGAGTTTCAGTTCTGGTTAAAGGAGAAGTATGCGCTTTAGTTAGCAAGCTATCTGCAAGGAGAATGCTGTCAACTAAAGCTTTGGTGAGGAAGAAGGTATTGACAGGGTTAGGGGCTATCCCATTGAAGATGAAGTTATTGCGGTCTTTCCAGATACTCTAGCAAGTGACTCCAAACTAAAGTTTGCTGTCATCAATCGTGAACCAGTTGCTATTCTTGAACAGGTGCAACTTCAACCAATCATCGAGGGGGAGGCTAAAAAAATCAGGTTGAAGGTTGATGGGAACCATCTTCTTCCAAACTTTCCTGGCCCAAACAAAGTCCCTAAGAACGTGGATTCTGTCTTCCAAGGCCTGGCCCCATCTTGAACACGAAGGCGAATCACACATCCTCCTGCGAGCCCTCTGGTCATTAGTAAGAAGTTTATCATGCAGGAGGAGCCAGAGGAACGTTTGAATCTTCTGGGGCCCAGGCCTTTTCCAGGCAAGGTTCCAAGACTTAAGGAACGGTTGATGGAAGGAAGAAATATTGAGATAAGAAGATTTGACAAAAAACCTACCATCATTCAAATCTCTCCATATCACTCTATCCTCCCCATCACCAGGAAGAGGAGGGATAATCCCTGCAATAAGGTTGTTAACGTGGTTGGGAAGCAAATGTTGGAAGAGGTTCCATTTCCAGCGACCTTGGGCATCCACAAATCTGTCCACACCATAATTTAACAGACTCTCCAGCACGGTTCCTGTGGCTACAGCCAGTAAATTCTCCACATGAGGAACCCTTTTTATTTAGCCAAAACTTAGTTTTCCTCCCATCACCTGTTAAAATCCTAGTCCCCTACATGATTTTTGTCTAATGGTTGTGCACCCCTTTCCACATATTCGAATTAGCCTTAGTCCTGATTAGGTTAGGAAGCAGATCATCTCCAAGTCCATATTTGTTGCGAATGACCTTCACCCAGAGAGCATCGCGATTAGCCAGGGGGAAAGTGTGATGATGATATGCATTCAAACCTGTGAATCTCAACTTTTTGATTTAAAACTTGATATAATAATCACTAGAATATGCCAATAACATATAGAACATCCCAACAGTTAAAAACTTATACAGATCAAATTTCAGGCCATAAACCTATCTTCGAAAGAAAATTTGATCAGCAGCTACCAATAACAAGGTTCTTCTTATTATACCCGATTATTAACGACCCTCTATATTTGAGTGCCGCAACAACTCACCCCTGAGTTTAGTACAGTTAGGTTAGATAAAAAAAAATGAGGTTGGTGGGCTAGCCTATCCCGCCACATTTGGCAAGATGGAATGAGCTGGCCTGATCTCATTTTGCATCTCTAGTCTTATCCATCCTATACTCCTACTTTATTATTAATGTTGAAGCCTTTCTATACTTTATATATATAGGGTAAAGTGTGTGTCATTTTAAAGGATGTAAAGTTGTGTCATTTTAAGAGAGAAAAAGAAATAGATAAAGGAGAAGAGAGAGTTAACAAAAAAATAAAGGTGTGGGTCTCATCTCTTTGTGAGAGTGAAAGGATATACGTTGTGTCATTTAAAAGGATAAACATTTTTCCCACATATATATATATATATATATATATATATATATATTGTTTCTCAAATTATCTCACTTAACATACAAAAAAAGTGGATAAAATCTATTAAGAAAAAGAGAAAAAAAAATTGGGTCAGTCTCATTTTTTTATGTGTTACATAAGATAAATTTTCTTATATAAAATAAAAAATAATAAATGTCAGTACTTTTATCGACAAGAACAAATGACCTTTAGAAGATAGAGTATATCACCTGGTAGTACCCTAGACCATGAGATGGAGAACCTATAGGCATCGAATCCTATGTCCTTCATTATTTGCACATCCTCCTAAAAATATAAAATAAAAAATTGTTCACTTTTATCATCCAGAAGTGTTGCTGAATATTAAAATTAAAATGCGAGAATATAGGATTTATATATCTGCATATGCAGTACGGCGAAGAAATAGATTCATCACTCCATTTTCATTCCAATCGATTCAAAAATGAGACATTTAATGCTTTCACACATATATGGTAAAATTATTTCTACAGCTGTTTTATATAAAACGGCTATAGAAATAATTTTACCATATATATATATATATATATATATATATAGGGTAAAGAATTTCTTCAGTCACCGGAGATAAAGTTATCTCCAGTGAGCTCAAAACGACGTCGTTTTGGGACGGAAATTAAGGTATTTTTGTAATTAAAATATATTAGAGGATTATATTAGTTTTTGTCATTATAATTTTTTAATCTTATAACCCAAAATGACGTCGTTTTGATCTCACTAGAGATAACTTTATTTCCGGTGACTGAAGAAATATTTTTCCATATATATATATATATATATATAGGGGGGCAGCTGTTGTACGTGCAACAATAATCAAATACTTGCCATATACATACTTGAAAGCATTAAATGCGGGAAATCATAACCATTGAAAGCATTAAATGTGAGGAATCATAACCATACACTTGTCGTTGTTGTAGATAAAGCGATTGCAGAAATAATTTTACCATATATATATATAGCAAAATTACTTGTAAAGTGACTGTATATAAAATTTAGTGTGGTAAAAAATTTACAACTATAAATTTTCGGGAATTTATATATACATATATAAGAATATATAGTTATAAATTTTTCACTGCATCAAATCTTGTACACATACACTGTTCATCCAACAAATATATATATATATATATATATATATATATATATATATATATATATATATATAGGCCCGGATCACCCATTTTGTTCAGCTTTTGAGGGAATGATAAGTAGCTCGCAACCAAAATGAAGATATGATTCAATCATATTTGATAATGCCTTTGATAGTGCGATAGTTTCTTTAGCAAGTAGGCCAATCAGGGAATGAACTAGCCAGGATTCTTTCGAAAGCCTTTATGATACTCTTTCTTGCACTATATAGAATAGTAAAGGAGGGAGTAATAAAGTGTATGTACTACAAGCAAGTTCCAGTGAAAGCTCTAGTCTAGAGTCTTTAAGGGAATTTTCTTTGATTGAGTAGAGTGAGTTCGTTACTGAACGAAGAAGACTACCTTTCTGGATGGGTCCATAGTTGACCCAGTATCAACCAACCCTTTCTTCCAGATCCTCGCTTCTATGGGCCAAATCACTCTCCTCGCTCGTTAAACTCGCACCTTGACTACACCCTTCTCGGCTTTGTTACCCAGACACTCATCCTGAGCAATCTCTTCCGGTTCAGCAGTGTCCAGCTCCCCCCCTTTGCCATTGTCACTACTGGTACCTGACCCTGTCGGCTCGACATTTTTGCAAACACCGACCCTTACTCAATAAGGCAATGAAAAGAGGAGAATGAGGACAGCTGACTACCGCTAAAAGTCAGACTACGAGCACACATTGTATGATTGAAAACTGCCGCTGCGTATTACCCGGTGCTTGCAGGTCTGACTGGTGTCTTCTCTCCAACAGCTGCTTCAATCAATGTGGGATCCCAACTATCATCCATATCCGTTTACCCTACCTGCTATCGACAGTCCTTCCACCTGTTACTCACTCTCAGGAGGGAGATGGATGGATCGTGCTTGTGCTATCAAGCCAAAAAATGACTGCTTTCAAGTGGTATTCACAGAAATGAAAAAGATGGAATGGTTGTAAACAGATTCGCTAGTTGGGTCAATTGGCACTCTTTCATTAGTGATTGTAAGCTAGGTGCCCTTAAATGACAGGAGGGGAAGAAGCTCTAACGGAAGCATCCAATCAACCGGGAATCCCACCTTTCAGATTCTACATCTGCTATTGCTGGAGTGCAGAATGAATCTACTACCTGTGCCAGCAAACAAATACTAAAAAAAAGATAAGGCTAGGTGTATTCGCAACTCACCCCGAGAAGGATAGAATAGCTCGACCGGTCCTATCTCTACACATCAACTCATGGTACTCCCTGGGCCCCCTAACAGGTTAGCAACAACATTCTCGAGGGCCATAAATCAATCATCGCATCTATCTACGGTAGGTAGGTCAAGTTTATAGGTCGAGCACTTTCATACATATAGTAGTTAATCATGATATAAATTCTTTCGAAGCTCGAGATTTCAGTCAGTGATAGACAGCTTGGCTAGCTATCCTCTCAAAAAGGCAATCTCAGTAGTGGCAGGAAGAAAACAGCTCCCAGGCATATTGATAAGGCTTAACCGGAATTGAATAAGGTTGGATGGGAGTGCGCTTCTTCAATCTAGGAGGTATCCTTATATCTGACTCTTCTTCCACGATCAAAGAAAGGGGAACTCAGACTGACTTCTCTTTTGACTACCGGAGGAGAACCTTACTTATACTGAGTATAAGAGCAGGTCTCCACTACCTAGAGCATAGAGGCGAGAGTCAGTGCCTTTCCTTCCCCAGCGTTCAGTGGAACGTGGATCCGCGCAGCATTTCCACGATATTGTTATGATCAATTAATGGGACTACGCCGGAAAGTGTTTCTGCCTCTATCATTAGCTCGGGTAGTCGCTATTTCTGGTGTTTCAGTCACCTTTCCATGGCTCCCTCAATTATGTGCTAGGAATTTCCCTCTTGCTTGAGTAATGGGAAGTGGGCTAGTCCTTCGCTTTCCACTGAGCTGAGGGAATCCCTGAAGCCCCTCTGCTTGCAGTGGCAGTTGCCAGCGAGTAAGACAGTGAAAGCTATGGCTAGGGATTTTCTACTTGACAAGGAGAAGAATCGTTTTGGACTTTAGCTTCTCCCTGGTATAGAATACAATACGATTACTTTACCCAGTTCTCTTCTCTTTCTTTAGAAGCAGTATAACCATATAGTAATAAAGCAGGATTTTATCCATTGGAGGATAAAGTTAGCTAGTTCAAGCAAGGGCAAAAGCAACTCAAATTTCATTGCTTCCCTTAGCTTTTTTGAATATCTTTTCTGTCACTGTGGTAGGAGAATGTAGTGGGCAAGTGCCCTTCCCTGGGAGGGTGAGAATAACTAGTATTGGTTCTGTTTCTTTCATTGAAAACGAAATGTTTTGGAATAATATATATAGTGTTTAAGCTGCGTTTACTACAAATGGGCTGAGCCCGGATCTCATTAGCTTGGCCCCAACCGGAGGGACTAGAAGGGGGAAATAGCCAGGCGCCAGAGAACCAAGCTCGCTCTCACTACTTATATATGGATAGACATGGGTAGGTAGGATAATATGCTGGCCTCCCATTGAAGAAAAAACACTCTCGATGAGCCTTGACCGGGCGGGGTAGGCAGAAGTTGATCTGGTAGATCTACTAGCAGTTTCAGCTACTGCTCGTGATAATGATTTTGCTTTTTTTTTTTATATTACGAAGTATGGATTTTCTTTTTCTCTATTTTGAAAGACACACCGCCACTCGCGTATCCCGAAGAAAGAAAGCGCCCCAGTGTACTTCTAAAATAGATGTTCGAAGAGAGAAGGCTCTTCAAGACCAGGTAGTAGAATGTGAGAAAGAGAGCTATTTTGCGCTGAGCAAAGCTGGTGATGTGCCACTGTATGGAGGGCTCAGAGAGAATCAAATTGCTTTCCTCACCACTGAGTACTCCGAACTGGTCTCCGCAAAGCCTTATACTGGGCTTGTTCTCTGTTTTTATTGATACCACTTTTTGAATGTATCTCCCACACTCTCTCATTTATTCAGCAAAAAAACTACAAATAACAGGGGCCTAGTCCAGTTCGGCGTAGCTCCAAGAGAAAATATCAAAGAATTCTCTGAGTAGATCCATGTACTGTCAAATCTCTTTCATTTGAGAAGCTTGCACTTAGGAATACAGGGCGAGGATTGTCAACAGTCCCGAGATCCATTTACTTGACCTCGTCCTCTGTAGGGGGCAAACCCCACTATCACTATACTATTCATAGTTGTGAGGCACTGTGTACTTACAGCCTCTACGATAAGCAAGTGAATGGGGCCGGTGCGTCTCCACTTCTTTACTTGCTGCTACGTTTGGTTTCTTCCTACGAATACTTCAAGTAAAGGAATTGCACGTATGATAAGGGTTTCCTGTTGGAACGAGAGTCTACTTCGCGATAGACCGATGAAACCTCCTGTCTTTTTGGCCTACTTTCCTTTTTCTTTACAGCCTATGTAGACTGAGGGAATTCTCGCAGCTACTTCTTGCAAATAGCCTTTTTGTCCTAACTGCGCATTAAGTAGGCTGATCCAGAAAAGCATCCTTTTGCCTTTAGTGCTTGGTAGGAGCAGCTTAGCGCATATGCTAGAATTAGAATCACGCGTAATGAAGCGCTTGTCTTACTTATCTAAAACATACAAAAAACCTGCTACAAATGAGCGGCATATAAACGGAACGAGATCCGTCGAAAGACGAGACTCAGATCGGAGATAAAGAGGCCCTTTCTTTATCTACTATTCATTTTTTGATGATTTTTTATATTCCGCAGCCTTTAGCACATAATGGAATTGCTCCTTCTATGCCTTCTCATCTGTCTCGCTTACCGAATCCTTAGCTTAGCCTGCAGCCTTTATTGAACGGTGCAGGCTAAGCTAAGGATCTCAAATAAAAGGTCCAGCCTTGCAAGATTGAATTCATACCAGGGAATCTCCTCCTTCTTCCTTATGCAATGCCTTAGATTTAGCTGTTGTCAGAATTATAAGCCCTCACCGGGAAATTTCTTAATAGAACCAGGTGAAAGGCGATCGGCCAGCGAGGAATTAACCATGACTATATAAGCTATTCTGTCAGATTCGATATAGATGAAATCGTGGAAGCGGACCTTTGATTTCCTTGGACCACGTAAGAATTCGTCGTCCGATTGAATCTTCTTGTTCCTGAATGCTTCATAGGAATCCATCGCTATTCCTTTCTTC